GTTGCTTGGTCTCTTTACACCATTTATTTAGTATAGTGTCCACACACCTTCTCACTCTACATATACATAGAGGTATACTTTACAGTCTACATTTTATTGATTATCTCTGATCCCCACGGTCAATTTGGTCTTTGCGACAGTGCGAGCAACACTGCTGACGCTAGGTAGCGCCAAGCTAAAAAAAAAACCCTAATCCTATCTGTTGCCTCTTTAAGCAAAGCCTCTAAAGACTAACTTGCGAGTCTAGTTTTGTCCTCAACCCAAAGATAGCAAGCTAGTAAAAAAGTTAGTCAAAAGGATTAATCGATTATCTAATTGGTTGGTGATTCATTTAATTGTTACAACTATTCCATTAATTGTTGCAGCTCTACTGGTGATGCTGGTGGAACAGTAAGAAGAAGTTAGTAGGATTCATCTCTCTGTAAATCAATAGAGCCATGAATGTTTGTGCAAAATCGGAAAAATTACTGAGATATTTCAGTCTGGACCAAAGTGAAGGAGTGACTGGACTGGCTAAAAGCCATGCTGATAGAAAAAGAAGAAAAAAAAAGAATGCTGTTTATTTTTTGAATCTAGACAGGCAGATGGCTTCAGACCAACTGTATGTGAATGTGTGAATACTGAAGAGATGTGTAATTCTGTTATACGCTGGTCTCTGAAAAAAAGGTGTTTCTGAAATATGACAGCTTTGGTGTTGAGCTGCTAAACCCAATGATGAAGCTGTAGTCATGTTTTTTTTTTTTCAACCTGCAACAATAATGAATGGGATTTTAATATTCTGTTTGCCAAACATGCCTCTTTGATTAAATCATGCAATTAGAAAAGACATAACACATTTTTCTTTTTTAACATGACACAGTTTTACTGAGAAGTCTTGGAAAGTTTTGCATCATTTTTATTCCACCATAAAATGATGACCAGTATTGCTCCTGGCAATTACATTTTCCATTTTAGTTTCCAAAGTCATCACAATTCACCTGAACAAAACACACCAACATGTAACATTAAAGGGGACCCATTTTACATCCCTGCTCATTCAATGTTAGATTGAAAGGAGGGATGTGGAATCTATTATTTGGCCTAAAAATGATGCCACGCTCTGAAGAACATCTCCACTGTGAACAAATTATGTGTAAAGCAATGATAATGTTAACATTTGAAGCTATTTACTGGTTCCAGAGGGAGGCTGTTGGAGTGTACAGTCACATCCAAGTGTGGGCTGTAAAAGATGGCCAGGTCCAGTGTTCATAAAAATGAACCAATATTGGCATTAATTTGGGGACATTTTGTATTACACTTTTTTTCCTTTTGAGGCATCATCCAATAACGTAGCTGTAACAGTTTCTAGATATTCTTATGTCATGCCAGAGAGCCACTTTTTCATGCAAAACTGATAGTTTATCTTCTGGTATACTGCTCCATCCATTTTCAATTTGCCCCATCCTGTGTCTGATTATAAGGCGATGCACTGAGATGATCAGTGACAAGACTAATTATCTTCTTAATGAATATTGAACCCTGGTGAGAAGTAAGTAAGTAAGTAAGATAACTAGTGCTGCACCGTGATAGTATCAAACAAAAGCCAAGACTGAAACATCTGCCAATAAACGATAGACTTAATGCTCCATACTGCATTCATGACATTGCTCCATTAGGTTTTATTAAGTGAGAACCAGTTGCTGCATGCAGACTGACATATTCAAAACTCCTCATACCTGGACAGTAAAAAAACATCAACATCCTATCAGTAGAACAAAAACACAACAAACTGCTAGGTTAAGGTAATGCAACGGACTGTGGTCATGCCAAATGCATTATAATAAGACAGAGTTAAAGGGACAGTTCACCCCAAAATCAAAAATCCAAATTTTTCCTCTTACCTGTAGTGCTATTTACCAGTCTAGATTGTTTTGGTGTGACTTGCCAAGTGTTGGAGTTATTCGCGGTAGAGACGTCTGCCTTCTCCCAAATATAATGGAAGTACATGGCACTTGGCTTGTGGTGCTCAAAGCATTAAAAAAATACATTTGAAAAACTTGACAGCAATGTCTCTTTCCAGAAATTAATTAATTCCAAAATCTTGATTACTCAAGATAACCCACAGACCTTGCTGTGAGCAGTTACATGTAGGAACTAGTTTCTGTCTTGGTAATTACACCCAACAACCGGATTACCATGCAGAAGGTGCTGAAGAAGGACTCTATGACTCTGGGTCGATTCACAGCCTTTGCAGGTACTTTACTGAAGAAACAGCATAGTTATGTTATAAAACATCATACCTAACTTTCCATGTGTGTGTGTGTGTGTGTGTGTGTGTGTGTGATTTCCTGCCGTTTGCCAGAATACTTGGCATTTTACCACAACTTGTTTCTGCCATAATGTCAACAGTGTCATTCAGGGTTAGACAATTTTAGTAAACATGTTTTGCTTCTAACTTGACCTTAAGGGTCAAATATTTCTAGGCCTTTTCACCACCACAAAGGAAGTGTGCATCTACTGCTCACTCACATAGTACCACTGACCTAGCTAACGTTACAGCTCAGCCGAGGAGCATTAATGTTTACAACACGCGTCACTAACACAAGCCTTTCATCCATGAGTAGATGCTTCCTTCTGCATGGTGATATGGTTGGTGGGTGTAGTTTGGTACAAAAAACCCCAAATAGTTCCTTCATGAAACTGCTCACAACAAAGTCTGCAGATTATCTTGAGTAACCAGGTCATGATTTCTGGAAAGAGACATTGCTGTTGAGTTTTTCAAATGTATTTTTTTGGAAGTGCCGAGTGCCATCTAGTTCCATTATATTGAAGAGAAGGCAGACATCCCTACGGCCAATAACTCCAACACTTTGCAACTCACACTAAAACAATCAAGGTTGATAAATAGCACTATAGGTAGAAGGAAAAATATGTATTTTTGACTTTGGGGTGATCTGTCTCTTTAAGTGTAAACCTGTTGAAACCATGTGTTGGCTACGTGGGGGCAGCAGAAACAAAATATCAGTACAACACATATAACTGACCTTTTGACCTGACACTGTATGGCAAACTTAGCAAACTTACTTACATATCCAGCAGATACAGAGCAAGGTTAGCATTCATTTAGTGTCATGTTTTTGGCTACCTGGCAAATGTAAGTTCAATATTGTCTCTCCATTTAGCTCTGTTTTTGGTCTCCACCACCTCCTGAAAAAAACTGTCTCTTAAGCTGTTAAATGCTTCACTATGTTGAGCAGCTACTTGCTAACTTTGTTTGTCTGAGTGAACCAAAACAAAGCTCACCTAACACAGTCATTCAATCCATTATTATGATAAGAATATTGATAATAGGAGCTTTGAGCAATAAAAGCAGCTTTGTAAAGGGTAGGGAATGATTGATCTTGTGGTTTAAAGTAATGTTGCCAGGAGATGCATAAAGTCTAACAGTAAGAAATCTATAAAGTATATCACTGGCAGAAGGATCAAGTTGTGAGATTATGCAGGGAGTTTCTACCAGTCTCTCCACAAACAGCACGACTCGTTGTTTCCGCCTTCATTAAATTTAAACTCTGCAAGAGTTGCCTGTCTATCTGTAACATTTGTCACCTCAGCTTTGAGCACTGGCCCTACAGCAACAGTAGGAAGTGTTGATAGACGAGAAGCAGCCCTCAGAATAGCAGACATAAAACTTACTGAGAACTTCTACAGTGGAACCATTTGACTAAATGTGGTGCATTCATGCATGGGAAACAACGCCTCCTTTTTGGTACAGATATTTTCTTACAAAATCCATCCAAATCTGAGATCTGTTTCCATAGTGCTTCCACGTTTTTAGCAAAGGTCATGGTTACAATAAAGACCAATTTAAAACCCCAATTCTACATGCACTCTTGTCGCATCTTCCAGCAGCTGGTGCTTAAAGAAACACATCCTAACAGTCCAGATATTTCTACTTTATGAGATAGTAGCACAGGTGGATTTTTAAGATGCTTCCCTTTTCAGCTTTTATTCTCTCAGCCCCTTCCCTTCTGTATTTCCCCTTCGTTGTGTCTGTCCCAGTGGAAACAGATATGAATGGTGATAAGGAGCCAGATGGGAGCAGAGCTATGAATCCACACTATAAGGCAGTAAAAATTTAGAGGTCCATTGTTAACTCTGGAGGGAAGATATTGATTGGTGCTGTGTGTTAAGTGAAGCACCAACACTGTCGCACTAATAGCAGCCAAGGCACGCTCATAAATATGTTGCCTTCATCCCGACCTCTTTCAGTGAGTTCTGATGTGATTAAATGATGGTCATCTTACGTTCAGTGCAGACCTAGGCCTAATTATCCGTGTAGCTAATACTTTTATGTTTTTCTTCTGCTCAAATCAGACTTAATTATCCTGCTGCTTGGAACCTGTTTTCAGCACTGATTAAAACAAGTAACTTTTTACAGTGTATACTTGAGAATCAGTAAAAAGTAAAATATGATTCTCTTTACCCAATTTGCTGTGTAAACATGACAAGTGAACTCATGAGATATTTATTACCCATTGTGAGATGATGCAATAAAAACAGGGCTTTTAGGAAAAAAAAGACATTTTTCTTTGTGGTTTGAATTTGAAGTTAAAATAACAACAACTGCATTTCATCAAATTGCATCAGTAAGAGATACCATTCGCAGTTCAAAGTCAAATCCTCAAATTGTACAAGTAGGTGCCTTTCATGGTGTGAAAGTTGTCATTTTGAGTTTAGATCAAATGTGACACAGTACGTACTAAAGAAGTCAGGCAAATATATCTGCAGGCCTGGACATAGTTACGGACACTGTCACAAAGCCCCATTTGGAGAGTTCATTCTTGAGACTTCAGTCCTTGCTATCAGAGATGTGTATGCTATAATCATAACTTAAAGTGACAGGAGGAAGGTTTGACAGGGCAAAAAATATGATTTTATTTGCAAGTTGTATGTCTGTCTGCATATCCTGTTTGTGTACAGTGTTTTCTGTCTGTGTAGGTATGTATATGTGTTTGTTGTACCTGTCCCCAGGTCAGTGTGCTCCTGAGACATGTGCTGGCTCTGGTGGACCCATTCGCCATTGCACTTGAAAAAGATCTGTAGAGCAGGCCGAGCTTGGCAGCGGAGCTTGATGGGGTTACTCTTGACGATGTAAGCGTCCACAGGCTCCTCCAGGAAGTGCGGCAGCGTCCCAGACTGGCCATGCTGCAGGGCCTCACCTCGGGGACCTGAAGGACAAAATGAGAATAAAACCAGACCTAATGGAATGACTGAACAAAATTGAATCGGCAAGTTAATTATTAATCAACGACAGCAGGATGGCTGATTCAAACCATCTTAGATTTCTTCCCCGCCGACTAACCCTGCAGTGAAATGTTGTTTTCAACACACAAAAACACCTCAAAACTAGCCTGCTCTCTGTCTTCCCCCAGCTTTCACAATCCCTCACTTTCCTTCTCTCCCCTGCAACCAGCCCCAACTAGCAGCCATTACTCCTCACAGCGACATCTCCCTCAAACAAATTGTTTTGGAGCACAGTGTGAGAAATAACAACAACAGAACATCACCCCGTCCCCACAGCCCATTCTTCGCTACAGTATTACAATACAATCCCCTCTTCTCATTTCTCAGTTTTCACATCCTCCATTCCTTTCCTTGCCTCCTCTCCTCACATCTCTCCCGACTGAGTTGTGAATAGGGGAGGCAAGCAAGAGACATGAGGGGTGGTTTTCATTATACTAACTATGCTTCTTTGTGTCCTCTTCCCTCCCGTGACCCGGAAATCTTGCACCCTCTGTCATCATGGAGATCTTCCACTCCCTTAAATGCACCTTGAATAGAGGAGAGATGAGGATTTCTGGAGGAGGATCTGACCATGAAACACAGGTGTAGCCTACGCAGAATTCTTTTCATTAGGCGGCATGATGTATAAATGCCACACCTCCGCACTTACGACAGACACTGGAACAAAGGTTGTCTCATTTGGCAGCTTTGACTCCTCCATCCTTGCATCTCTTTCTCACATCCTCACTGGGAGGAGCTAAGATGCGAGGGAAGCAAGAGACACTCTAGCATAATGAAAAGCACCCGAGGAGAGAGGAATCGAGGCATTAGGTATTTAACCAGATAAGACTTCGGAGCTGTGATTTTAAAGCAACATCAACGGAATATGATGTGACACACAGCTGCATCATCCACTGTGTGTCACACACCTTTTATACGTCATGGTGCCAAAAAGATTTCCGCAAAGGAGACATCTTTGCATCCACAGCTCCTCTGGCAGATGCATTTTAGGAACTGAGACATCCTTCGAGATGGTATGCTGAGATTGATTTCCGGGTCACAAGCAGGAGATGGAGCTGAGAGGAGATGAGGAGGCACAAAATAGAGAAATGAGAAGAGCCCATTCATTTACAGAAAGTCCACCGCAGAACAATAATCCTCCTGGGGGCCACAGTGTTTAATATTTTAAGTACACGGGGACATTGCAGGCCACACTCAATTTTGCAAACCTGTAAACTTTTTTGATAAAAAATACCATCCTTGTTTAAATAATTTATGTCATTAGTGTTATTGTTTGCAAACATATTTTCTCTCTTTATTTTTTGAAGGCTGAGGTGTTTGAGCACCTCTGGGGAACATGAGGCATTAAGGGTCATCTCAACTGCACTGTTGGCTCAATATGTGCTGTTTTTTCTTCTCTGTATGGTAACAAATAGCAACAGTGGAAATACAGTTTTGCTGGATGGTGAGAAATCCTGATTTTATGGGAGTTTTCAGGGGAAAGACTCTCTGGAGATCCGGAACCGACAGGACCCGAAACACAGAGCAGTTTTTATCGCAGTGCAATCCAACTATAGCAATGAGTATAAGCACTTTTTGACAACCACTACGTAACAGAGAGATGTGACATGGCACAACAACTGAACAGAATCCACAGGTATCCTCTTTGCAGAAAGAACAAAACACAAAAAAGTAGTAAAAACGCCTGGAATAAACACCTAAATGAAAGTGAAGACAATAGAGACATCTTGATGTTGATCAGACAGTAGTCCCATAAAGACTCCTTTGATCTCTCAGATGTTGGTGTTCACTAAAGGCAGTTAATTCAGTTGAAGAATTCACCGACAACACACTGGCAACACATTTAAGAGGCATTACTCCCTTCTTCCCCTGCCCGTCTGAGGTGTGTTCCAGTCAGTGCACGTTTTGCTACTTCTGAGGCCCTGCAAGTGTAATTACACTCTGACTAATCCCCTAGTTTGCTGGAACCTCTTTCATGCAAGTGTGAAGGGTTTAGTGAGGCAAACCGTCCCCCGCCCGCCCCTCCCGATCCAAACTCCCTTCTGCACACTGCATTCTCCACAGTGATGGGTGTACCTCTGAAAACCCCATCAGGATTAGAGAACCCACTCTCTCTTTCTCTCTCTAGCTAATCTAATCCTCCTACCTTTCCTGCCGGATGTCTCCTGATTGAGGGGAATAGATAAAAGACTGTGTGATTCCCTGGCTGCGAAAATCACAGCACCAGCTTAGTTTCCCTCTCTCCTGCGTGCGACACGTTCACGTTCTCTCTCCCTCATTCCTGGAACTGAGGCTCAACAAAGAGACATGCTTTTAATTTCAAAATGACTAGCCCCAGGCAAGCTTTTCTTGTACAGAGTGCTCCAATTTGTTTTGCGCGCCGAGCATTGACATGCTGTGTTTGTGTTTGGATAGATGCGAAACATAGACATGAGTGCGCATCCAGACGATGATAGATGGGAACATGAATACACAAACACGCAGCTGTCAGACAAAGCCACAGCCCCATAATGACTCATTTGTTAATAGATCAGGTATTATACTAATGCTTTCCAACATGACAGTTTAATGCCACAGCTTAATACCTCGAATATCAACATCAACTGGAGCAAGGTTTAGTAAAGCATTACGGGCTCTATTTCAGAGTTAGTTGTCCGTTGACTTTTTGCATTTTCATTTTTTATTTAGCAGGTGGGATAGTATTGCAGTAGACAGATTAGGCAAGACACAGCAAAGACACTCTAGTGTGATTTAACCTCAGGCTGGTGGCGGGACATGTGACTCTAGGGGGAAACACAAGCACTTAACTGTCTGTGGGACCAGCCTTACATTGTCTTTGTTCTTGAAATGGCTGACTATAGATCACAAAGTGCAACACAAAGCCAGGACTGTAGGATGCACCTAAGGCTCTGCAAATTGTAGTAAATACACACACACAGTGGCGGATCTTCCTATAGGCGACAAAACTGTCCACCTAGGGGGCTGGTCGGTCTGTAGTAGGTGTACCATCTTTAGTGCTGGCAATGCAGTTCATCTTATTGTGTTTGTCAGTGTGATCATCATAGTCAGGACATGCTAGAGCATTGTTGGATATATTGAAGTGGAGTGTATGTGGAGAGCATTAGGGTAAGAGAAAATGAAAAGGCAAAAGCCATGCGGGGAACAGTACAAAACTAGAATTACCACCCCATGGTTGTATGCCTACACGAACCAGTCAAGTTGCAGTTACAGTTTACACCCATGTCTGAAAACATGGATGCTTCACACACATCTTCCTCCCTGCAGCATAGAACATATATTCAATCAGCACAGTTTCAAGGTGGACACCCAAAATTAGAGTCAGTAATTCAGCATCTGACCAAATGTCTCCCCTTTTGTTCCTAAGTTATGATGTTGACTAACTGCCAGAAAAGTGTTTTTGCAGAACATTATGACACACTGAAGTCGACCGTTGACCTTCTGGATATAAAATGTCATCACTTCTGTATTTTATCCTACTAGAAATGTGTGTGTAGTTATGTCATAATTAACATATGAATTCCTGAGTCATTGCCAAAAACATTTTTTTAAGGTCACAGTGACCTTGACCTTTGACCATCTAATTCTAATCAGTTCATTCTTGAGTCAGGGTGGATGTTTGTGCCAAATTTGAAGAAATTTCTTCAAAGCCCTCTTGAGAGATCGCCTTTATAAAATGAGACAGACACAGGGTCACAGTGACCTTGACCTTTGACAACTTAATTTTCTATGATTTCATCCTTGTCTCAAAGTGGATGTTTCTTCCAAATCTGTAGAAATTCCCTCAAGATCAGATGGTCAGATGGACGACCTGAAAACATAATGCCTGCAACCACAGCTATCACTGGCGTGGAGGAAAAAAAAGTACAACGAAGATGACAAAATTAGCAAATTTGCACATAGTGTATTCTTTTATTATTTATTATTGTTTGCCAACCAAGTTGTTTATTTGTGTTGATTTCTCATTAGCTATTGGGGGGGGGGGGGCTTTGGGCAGGGTAAGCTTGACTAGGGCACAAAAATTGCATGGTCTGCCACTGTAATCACATGGAAATGAGAGAACTGACACAGTTATCAGGCGAGGTGTGGCTCAAACAGAGTGGCTGCAGAATGTGATGGTGTTCATGGTGCTGTGGGGTTTCTGTTTGCCGTCCTAAGATAATCTACTCATTTACATCTCTCAGCCGGTGCAGGGCTGTTATTGGTTCATCTGCACATTTCCAGGAAAGGCCGCGGACCAGTATCTCTCCTCAATATGCTTCGCCGCTGTCATTCAGGAGACCGCTGTGCCCCGTGCTTCACAGTTTTCACAGTGATCTACAACCAATGCCTCAGCCCGGCAATAACACACAAGGGGCACAGATACATCTAGCCCAGTTTGAGAGGAAAACAAGATATCACTGCCAAAGGGCTGAGTGATGGCTCTATCAGACACCCTCTCTCTTTCTTCCTCTCTCTGCCTCTCTGTCTGTCTTGCACACAAACAAACTTTTGTCCTGGAAATGCACACACAGTCTGCTAATACTGCATCAGCTGTGATGCAACCTGTAAGGGAAACTCGCAAACAATTTAATTTCCTCAAGTACGGAAAACTCTTCATCTCTTCGTGCAAAATTAAAAGCAACGGTTGAGTGTGGTCTCTTCTGTCAGTTCAATGTATTCATAGCTTTTAGTGGGAATCTAAAAGAAATGAGGGGGAAAGAGCCCCTAGCTGACTGAACTAATTTGGTAAAGCCTTTGGGTGGTAGCACAGGCTGTTTCACACAGAGAAAGATGACTGCTGCTCCAGCACACACGTAGTGATTTGCAGAGACTGAAGGCAGCAGCCAGGCTGATGTTTTGCCAAATTCTGCTCCACTTTCAGCACACTGCAACCTCATCTCCTGGCAGACTAACTGCTGTCCTG